GGTCATGCAAGACGCCGACGGACACCTCCCCCTCCTCCCGACCCCTCCTGTAAGGCGGCTCACCCTCCCGGGTCCCCACGCGCGGAGGCCCCTGTCCTGGGGCCGCGGGAAGGCCCTGCCCCGCTGCGCGCAGCCGAGTGACCCCCACCCCGCAGTCCTCCAAGGACCGAGCCGCCCGGCTAGGCCCTTTTCCTGCGGCGCCCCCTCCCCGTACCTAAGGAGCTCGCGTAGACGTCGGTGGCGCCGCAGGCCGGGGGTCCCAGGAGCCCCGCGGCCGCGCACAGCAGCGGCAACATGACCCACATCCTGGCGCCTCCGCCCGCGGACTGGCAGCGAGCGCGGGGAGCCAGGCCGAGGAGGCTGCGGGGGCGGGGCTGGGCTCCGGGGGCGGGGCTCCGCGGCTGCGGGGGCGGGGACGGAACTCCAGGGGCGGGGCTCCGGGGGCGGGGCTGGGCTCCCGGACACACCTGCGCGCCGGGCCCCACCTGCGCTCCGCCGCCGGCTCCTGCTGCGGGTGCCAGGAAAGCGCGCCGTGGGGCTGGCCCGGGTGCTGCGGGGGCGGTCACGGCCTGACCTCGCCCTCTCCCTGCACGCCGCGACCCCGACCCCCGGAGCCCCGTCTCCCTGCCCGCCTTGGCCCCGTCCCCGGTGTCGCCCTCTCCCTTCCCGCTCCAACCCTCAGAGCCCCCTCTCCCTGCCTGTCCCCGCCCCCGCCCCCACACCCGAGCCCCCATCTCTGGTCCTCCTTAAGCACGTTCCTCTTGTCCCTTGTCCCTTGCGCCTTGGAATGAACTTACAGGTAGAGGAAGGAGACGGCCGGTTTTTTGGTGAGGCGCCCCCTGAGCCACCCCCGCAACAGGCATCTTAGTCTTTCTGATGAGAAAGTCCTATGATCGGCTTCGGGGCTGTCGGGCAAATCTGCAGAAAGGAGGAAGACCATGTACGGGTTTGCGTGTGACAGAAACAGAGAAGGAGGAACCAACACTTCAGGCTAAGGGCGCCAGCCCTGTGGTTGCTGGGTGGGGGGTGGGCGGGGTGGGGCGTTCAGACCACCTGCAGCCGAACACCCAGGGCCGGACGTTCACCGACATCCTCACCCAGCAGAGCGCAGGTGGCTGACCCCTCACCCCCACTCCCATTTTGCAGATGGGGAAACTGAGGCTCCAGAGCCCATGGTAACTGATGCTGGAAACAAGCAGGGAGCTCCCTCTGGGAGCCCGCGGCCTCACATAGACACTCTGCTAAGGGCAAAAGGCAATCTTAGCTTAACATTATCATGACCCCACAGGGGCCTGTGAGTCTACTTTAAATAGAGAGATTCCTTTCGAAACTTCCTTTATCTCAACCCTCCAAGATATATGTTAGCAATCACCCTCAAAGCATATGGCCCCCGATACATATCTGCAGGGTCTCATGACTAGGCTCTCACTAGACAGTAATAAATGACCTTTTCTGACAACAGCTGGCCTCCTGAAGGTCCTGGAAACCTGCTTCCAAAATCCTTAGTGACATACATGGTCCCTAACCCCTCCCAAATTGAAAGTGTATAATAGGCCACTCCTCACGACCCCACGCAGCTCTTTCTGCGCACAGGTCCTGTCCCCACGCTTTCACAAAACCACCTTTTTGCACCAAAGACGTCTCAAGAATTCTTTCTTGGCCATGGGCTCTGAACCCCAACATTTTCCCATAAGCTTAACTTCCCTAGTAAGTGCGCAGACGGGGGCGGAGCCAGGTGTGATCTTTCTGCTTTTCTGCAGCCAGAGGCATTTTGGTAGGTCGGTTGGAGCCCTTGGGGCCGCTTGTCTTGTCTCCGTTCTCTGCCCCTCCCCCCACCCTCCAATAGAGGTTTTCTCTCCCAAAGTGCCCAGACCGGCCCTGCCTCTGAGGCCCCTGGGGAGCAGGTTCCCCAGGCTCTCTCCTGGGATCTGACCGGTGGATAGGGCCCAGGAATGTTCACTTGAAGGGCCTCTGGGTGACCTCTCCATGCAGTCCTTGGGCACTGACCCTGCTTGAGAACCAGCAGTCCGTGCTCAGAGACTGTTTTTGCAGACAGAGCATAGTTTCGGACCCCAGGCTTGCCCCTGTGCTGGTTCCCCCGTCACCCTCTTGCGTGGGTCACTGTAGAGGGTCTGAGCTGCAGTGTGGACGGCACTGGCTAGGTCAGCTGGAGAATCGCGTTCAGCTCTTGTCCTACTGCAGATTTGCTGTGGGACCTAAGCCGTGGTTCGCACCACAGCAGTGACGCACCTGAAACCTGGGCTCAGTCTTGTGCCTCGGCCGCCTGCACCCATTTTCATGGTGTTTGTCTGCATGTCTGGCTCCCGCTGGGCACCACTCGTGTGAGGGCTTCTCCATAGTTCTGGTGCTCTGTGCTCCCACAGAGGTGAGGCTGAAGACTGGCGCTGGAGACACAGCCCTGCTGGGCCGGGGTGGTGGGCGGAAGCCGTAAGGTTCTGTCCTGGGCTATCAATCCGGCACAGTCCGGGCACTGCCGGGAAGGGACTCTGCAAGGGAAATTAGGTTTTGAGTCAGCTGGCTTTAACTGGTGGTCCTGGGTGGTCGGAGGCCTCCAGTTCCGTCACGTGGGTCCTTCAAATCCAAAGAGGAAGGCGGGAGAGTCAGCGAGATGAGCCAGAAGAGGGCCAGGAGCCTGAATCCTGAGAAGGGCTTTGCCCGCCATCGCTGGCTTCGAAGGGGTCAAGGGCCAAGGCACGTGGGCGGTCCTCCGGAAACAGAACGGCCCTAGCCAGCGGCTCGCGGGGAAGCAGGGACCTCAGTCCCACCTGCCAACACCTCTGACGCCAGCCTGAGTCAACCGGGGAGCCGACTCGTTCCCACAACCTCCCAAAGGAGGACAGTGTGGCTGACACCGTGAACCTGGCCGTGTGAGGCAGGAGTGGAGGAACCCGCCAAAGCCTCGAGGACTTCTGACCATCCGAGCTGTGAGATCGTGTATTCATGTCGTGTTAAGCCCCTAAGGTTGAGGTAATTGCTATGCAGCAGGGCAACACCAACGCCCCAGGTGACATGCTCAGGTGAACTGGTGGCAGGCGAGGAGGCTGGGATGTGTTCGCACTTCTGGGGCCTGGGAGGCTAAGAGAAGGGGAGCAGCTTGTACCCTCCGCACTCAGGAGTCATTACCGCCTTCATGGACGTGTCAGACCCAGTGCCAACCTGCTTTAGGTGAGCAGACTTTTCTTAATGCTCACTATGTATCCCCATTCTGCAGATGAATTGATTGAGGCACGTAGGCAGCTTGCCTAAGGCCACACAACTAAGGGACGGAGCTGGGGTTTGAACTGCTGGCCAGCTGAATCCAGAGTCCTACTCCTCAGAGGTAGGCATCGGGCCCCGCGGGGCAGGTGGGCGACAGAGAACTCCAGGCCTGCTTTCCTGACCATCCAGGTCTGCACTCCCCGCAGGCGCCAGCAGGGGCCAGGCGCCCTACCAAACCACAGTTTCCCGATTCTGGGGTGACCACCTGCCGCCTCAAGCCTCCCACCTCCTGTTGGTGGGACTGCTGTCTGCGGGCCCCACCTCCGTTTATCCCTTTTCTTTAGCTCAAATCTGCTGCTCAGCCCCAGCTGTTAGCTACAGGTTTAACTGGTTTTCCAGATCACCTGTCAGAGTCACCCTCTTAGCAGATACGTGCGGCCCGCGCCAGATAAATTTCTGCGCCCCGCCTCTGGCATCTTGTAAGAGTAGAAACTGTGTTAACAATATGATCTCACAGCTGCCACTGACACGGGTCATGTTGTCCCATGTTCATGGCAACCCTGTGACGTTTGTCGGAGTGTACCTGTACCCACTTCCCAGATAAAGAAGGTGAGGCGTGGAGTTCAGTAGGTGCCCTGGCAGGTGCTGGAGCGTCCCCCACAGCCATGTGCTGATTTTGTGCAGTAGAAAGACAGAGGGCTGGTTGGCTGAGTGGTTGGGTGGATGACTGTAGAGGTGCATGTATGATGGTTGAGTGGATAGAAGGGGCCATTGCTGGCTGGCTGGCTGGAAGGATGCATGGATAGGTGACTGGCTGGATGGAAGGGGTGGATGGAAGGATGAATGGATGGAAGGAAGGAAGGAGTAGATGGACAGATGGACGGATGGGTGGTTGGAAGGATGCATGGCTGGATGGTAAGGAAGGGGTGGGTAGATGGATGGATGGATGGTGGATGGATGGTGGATGGGTAGATATACAGGTGAGTGACCCAAAGGCCTGCTGAGTGGGAAAGGTAAAGGATATAGGAGGAGTGTAAGTCCACATCAGGAGGGTTCACCAGGAACTCAGACCTCTTGCTTGTTCCATTCTCCGTCAGGAGACGCTCTGCTTAGTCCTCTTGGTTATTTCCTGTGCTGTGGGCCTGGGAAATGTCCTCTGACTGTAAGAGAAGTCACTGTTTCTGTGCTGAGACGTCAGAGTGCACTCTTGGCTATGCCCCGGAGATGCCGCAGCCACAGCCAGGAGAAGTGTGCAGGCTTGCAGAAAACTCTGGAAGCCGCGTGTCATCAAGGCCAGGATAGGGGTGAAGGCAGTGGGTTACCCTGTGGAAGGAAGGGTTAGGAAGGGTCCCGTCCTTGTATTAGTTGTTAGTGATACTACATTCATCATAGATTTTCTGCATTAATTTGTTATTTTTAAAAATATTGCACTAAAGTATAATTTATCTTGACTACTCTGTTTTTTTGGCACTCCCTTCCGTTTTGCACCCAAGGGGTATGTCTCACTTTGTTCACCCTAGTCCTGCCCTGAGAGGGAGCAGCAGTTTCTGGACTTTTCTACAAGCTCCCACACTTACGTGGAGTGAGAGCTTACCTCTGCTCATTTGGCTTTCCTCTTGCATCTGGGGGAGGCAGGAGCTCAGCAGCTGGAGCCTGGAGCATGTCTGCCTCCAGCCATTTCTCCTACAGAGCCTCCTTTAGTCTCTTGTCCACATAGTCTCACTGTGTACACTCCTTTGCCTATCACTTAAGACCTCCTATGATACATCCCTATTCTGTTTGTAATGTCTCCACCACTGTACACCTCATCAGTCCACAGGTGAGCTCCTTGTCAGGCACAACCCCCAGCTCCCTCTCTGTGCTCCCGTGTTGTCCTTTCTCCTCTACAGAAGTGTTCTTTTCCAGGACCCCTGAATTAATAATCTGCACCACACACAGTTCTGCTTTCTCCCTTACTGTTCTGGAGAGCATCTTGCAGAGCTGGTGATTTTCAGGCAGCTTGTCCCCGAAGCTGTTGGTCTGAGGGGTCAGTGCCCCTGCTACACTGGTGGTTAAAGATTTTGAAAGTCAGGTTTCCTGTATCTTGCCCTCTGCGGTAAAAACGCCAGGTGCTAGAGCCCGAGC